ATTTTTCTTTTTTTAGCACTTTAAAGATGCTCAGTTTTCTCCTGGTCTCCATTTTTTTCTCATGCAAAGTTAGCGATCTTTCTTACAACTGTTCTATTTTAAATGCATTCTTGAGCTCTTTCAGCAGATAGCTTACGATTTGCCTTGGTGCAATTTTCTTGTACTTATGCTGTTTGTGTTTTGCTGAGATTTTTGGATCTAAGGTTTAATGTATTTCATCTATTTGGCAAAGTTCTTGGCCACTATCTCTTTAAATATTTATTCTACCCCATTCTCTCTGTCTCTCCTTCTGAGGTTCCAATTACACGTGTTAGACCTTTGATATTGTTCCACGGATCATAGATGTGTTTTCTCGCTTTTTCCTGTGTCATGTAATTTTTTAAATTGTATGCTGGACCAAAGGCAAATAATATTTACCCCCAGAAAAGGGTTCACACCTTCTTCTCTCAGGTCATTGGCGTAGGAAATGAGTTAGTCTAACTTGTAGTTAAGCTGGATCTGGGGTTTGTTGAACTTAGAGTTAGTTCATCACTGGTTTCAAGTATTTTGAGGATGGGATCAGGACTTTTCCTTCAGCAGGACATTGATGAGATTCTAGAGTTATCTTTATGTTTTACAGCCAAGCTTCCAGCTTTCTTTCTCTTGTTGCTATTCCCAGGCTTTTTAATGTGTGTGAGAGCTATCTGCTTTACACACTGGCTGCCGGCTTATTTGGCTTGCTCAGGGAGTTCTCTCTGCTTTTCAGCTCCGCCTCCAACTTTCTGAACCTTTTCACCCTGCTGCCTGACTCTGCTCTCAAAGGTTGGCTACCATGCCAATAGGCTTGAATTCCCTTGAGAGACTTCCCTCAGTTCACCTGCCCCATGCCTAGCCTTCAGCTGCCTGTTGCCGTGTACATGGGGAAGGCCCTGCAGGACTCAGGGTGCCTCTCTAAGCTCTCCTGCCTGCCCCTACCCTTTGGATAATACTTCCTTGCACTTAGTAAAGACTCAGCGTGCTTTTGAAGGATTTCTCTCAGTTCTTCCTTGACTTCAGCTTTCCACATACTAACCATATCTCATCCCCAGCCTTATCCTTAGCTTTTGGAAGCCATTGACTCAGAGACAGTAAAGGTCTGTAAGGGAGAGGACACTTCCCAATAGTCCTCCTCCCGTTACTCTGTCGGAATTGAATGCAGCCCTTGGTATCTTTTCCGCTATCAAAGGCTTTTTACTTTCTGAATTAGGTTCACTTAGGGTTCCTTGAATTTCCAGCTCTTTTATGGGTTTAAAATTTTTTTGATGATTTTTAATTTTTTCCTTTTCTGTGATGAAACTCCTCATTTTATACTTTATGTTTTTGAACATATTAATCAAAGTTATTTTAAAGTCTTTGATAAATCCAATATCTGTTTCACCTTTGGGTCTGTTTCTATTACATATCATTTCTGTGGGTTCCAACATGATAGAGTAACAAGGACTGGATTGACATTCCTGCTTTAAACAATTAAAAACCTGAACAAAATATATGAAACAGTTTCCAAACATCAGACTACAGGCAGCAAAGAATAGTAATCTCTGAGATATTATAATTTATATGTAATATGTAATGTTATAATTGTATAATATAATATTATATATTAATATTATAATATTTATATATTATGCTATATATGTATATTTCTATTATAAATTATATATATTATTATATATGATATATAATAATATAATGTATAATATAATATACATATAATTTATAATAATATAAATGTACTTCATGTGTTACAAAAGGTGGAAGAAAACATCAGCATGTTAAAGAAAGAAATGGAATATTTGTAAAAAGACCCAAATTGAAATTAAAAATTAAAAAGAACAATATGTCTGAGATAAAAATACACTGGATGGAATTAACAGCAGATTAGACACTGCAGAAGAATAGATTAGTGAATATGAAGACGTAGTAATAAAAACAGAACAAAAGAGTAAGCTGATATTTAAAGTGTATAAGATGATTATTTGATATATGTATACATTGTGAAACAATTACTACAATCAAGGTAATTAACACTGTATCACCTCACATAGTTATTTATTTTTTTGTGGTGAGAATGCTTAAAGTATACGATACAATATTGTTACCTATAGTCGCCATGCTGTACGTTAGATCCCCAGAACTCATTCATCTTATAACCAGAGGTTTGTACCCTCTGACCAACATCTGCTTTCAACCTATCTGTCCTTATATTTAAATGTGCCTCTTTTAAACAGCATTATATTGTCTTATTTTTTATATCCTGTCTCACAAGCTTTGCCTTTTAATTGGATGTTATTCTATTTAAATATTAATGAAATTACTTAAATAGTGTAAGTCTATCATCTTGATATTTGTTATCTGCTTATCTATTCTTTGTTCCTTTATTCTTACTTTTCTGCCTTCTTTCAGATTAATCAAGTATTTTAAAAAATTATCCTATTTTATTCTTCTGTTTTTTAAATTTTTTAAATTTTTTAAATTAATTTTTTAAATAATTTTATTTATTTATTTTTCCCCCAAAGCCCAAGTAGATAGTTGTATGTCATAGTTGCACATCCTTCTAGTTGCTATATGTGGGACGCAGCCTCAGCATGGCCGGAGAAGCGGTGCGTCGGTGTGTGCCTGGGATCCGAACCCGGGCTGCCAGCAGTGGAGCATGCGCACTTAACCGCTAAGCCACCGGGCTGGCCCTAAATTTTTTTTAGTAGTTACCTTAGAGATTGTAACCTGCACTCTTGACCTGATACCCCTTCCTGTGCGAGAAGCTTCCCCTCCCCTTCCTGTTGTTTGTACTGTTGCCAGCATATATTTTACTTCTACACATGTTCTGTCTTTCCACAAGTCCTTGTTATTAATGTTACCATAAGCAGTCGATTTCTTTTTATATTTACCCACACATTTACCATTTCGAGTGCCCTTCATTCCTTCCTGAAGTTCTAGGGTTCTGTCTGCAACCATTTTCCTTCCGTCTGAGGAACCTCCTTTATTATTTCTTATAGAGTTGATCTGCTAGTGACAAGTTCTTTAAGCTTTTATTTATCTGAAAACATCTTCATTTTGCCTTAAAAATTCAAGACTGTTTTACTGGATGTAGAATTCTCAGCTGGCAGTTTCTTTTCTTTCAGTACTTAAACAGGACCATTCCTCTGTCTTCTATATTTTCTCTTGAAAAGTCAGTGGTAAGTTGATACTTTGAAGGTAATTTTTTCTTTTCTCTGACTGCTTTTGGTCTTCAGCAGTTTGACATGATGTGCCAAGTGTGGTTTTGTTTGTATTTATCCTGCTTGGAATTCACAGATCTTTTTCAATCTGTGGATTGATGTCTTGCATCAGTTTTGCAAATTCTCAGATATTATCTCTACAGTATTGCTTTTGCCCATTCTCTCTTTTCTCTCGTTGTGGGATTCCAGTTACATGTATGCAAGACCATTTGACTTTGTCCCATATGTCTGTCATACTCTGTTCTGTTCTTTCCATTTTTTTTCAATGTCTGCATTCCAGTATGGATATTTTTCACTGAATTGCCTTCTAGTTCATTAATCTATATGCAGCCTGCTATTAAATCCATCTGATTAATTCTTAATTTCTGATATTGTATTTTCTAATTCTAGAATGCTCATTTGATTCTTTTTTATAGATTTCAGTTTGCTGTTGAAATTCTCCTTTTTCTCCGTTTTCTTCATATTTTCCTTTATTTTATTTAACGTTATTTACAATAGTTATTTTAAAGTGTTTATCTGCTAACTCCAATGTCTGAATTATCTGTGGGTCTTAGTCTAATGCCTATTTCTTCTTTTGATTATTGATTATATTTTCCTGTCTTTTCACATGTCTTATACATAAAAAAAACCCAATGAAACAAAAAATAAAGAACGAAAACAAAAACACTCCAAAAAAACCCAAAACAAAACTTTTCTGGACTTTGTATAAAAGAACTGTAGAGACTGAAGTTGACATGATTTTCCTCCTTCCTCTGCGTAGGGCTGCTCGTCTCAGTGCAATTGGGAATTGAGCTGGGTTGGCTCTGGACAGCAGCTTTAGGTGGACTCAGTTTACTTCTGTCTTTAGTCATCTCAAGGGTGAAGTCTTCTGTGTTTGCTGTAGGCTTCTTCCTCCAGTGGGACTCTGTCTCCCAACGATCTCGTTCTGGCTTTCTAGCCCACCCCGAGACCCTCAGCTCCCCCAGTGCTCAGAAAATGTGGTGGGGGAAAAACAGCTGTGCATTTGGGACTCGAATCAACTTAATGCGTCACGCCAGCCAGAATGGCTATCAGAAACTCTGCTGTTTTTCATTCCCTCCAGTAGCTTCCTTCTGCCTAAGCTGAGCCTGATTCTCACTCAACCTGTGCCCAGAGAAGAAAGCAGCACTCGGCTTCAGTTCTTCTTAGAAGGACTCTTCGCTTTCTGTAATTTTAGTTCATCCAGTCCTCTTTGCTTCTACAATTCTCCATTAATTTTTTAAAAATATGATTTTGTAACATACTTGTTTTATTTTTCTTAATTAAAAAAATTCTGCAGCAGGAGAATGGCTTGCTACTCACTATCCCCTGCCTAGGAGCAGGACTCATGTTTCTCTATTTGCACTACCTACATTCTACTCCAGCCCCGTTCCTCCTCAGCCCCACCCCGAACCTCACATCTGACAGGCACCTCATGATTTTGTGCCATTGCCATTTTAAACACGAGCTACCTGAAGCCCAGCTGAAGATCACTCAGTTGTTGCCCTAATCCTCCCTTAGTCTCAGCCTACACAGGCGGTGGGATGCTCTAAGCCTGAGCTCCAAGCAGATCCTAGGGCTAGTGTCTGATTTCTCCAGGTATTTGTGGAGTAGCCAGCATAATGCTTGGCATAGAGTGGGCATCATGAGGTGCAGGCCAGGGGTAAGGGGGCGCTGGCTGACTCTTGAGGGTGGAGGGTGAGGGGCAGAGGGTTCAGAGGAAGGGGTATGCGAGTCCTTGTTACCGGGCTGGGTCTGGTTAAATCACAGGGACGTTCGGCCTGAATGTTTGGAAAAGGCTGCCGGATGCCCAGATGGTTGGCGATCATGAACTAACAGAAACCTTAAAGGAGGAAGCTGACTCCATCGATGCCGCCCAGAAGACCTTCTGTTCAGAGCTGCGGTGAGCTGTCACACCTCCTTGGGCCCCAGGAGGGGATGCTGGGAGCCTCCCAGGCTCAGGCTGCCTTGCCTGGGTTGGGTAGTCTGGGCACATATGGGGAGGGGCCTCAGAAGGCCAGAGACTTGGGACCTGCAGGCAGCTTGTCTCCACAGGTGGCAGCTGTGGCCGAAGAGCCTAAGGCTGTGTTCTAGCCCAGTTCAGCTGAGAGATTGAGCAGCACAAACCAGTGGAAAATATAAAACCCAAGTCCTCAGATGGGACCCTGTCCCAGAGCTGGATTCAGATTTTCCAGGGCTGGCTTCCCTACAGAGGCCATTTCTATGTGGCCAGAGTCCCCTGGAGGAGAGCCCGCAGGGCCTGGTCCTGAACAGACACTTGCCTTCTTTCTCGGATTCATGGGGAAGGCAGGCTGCTTCCTACTTGTCCCTTTCTCCACAGGTTCCCCCCCCACCCACGCTGCACCCTTATTCCTGACCAAGTCTCGAATAATTTTGGGTCATTCAAAAAAATATTTATGGAGGTCCTGACTGCCAGGCCCTATGTTAGGTTTTAGAGATGCAAAACAATCTAGATACAGATCCTGCCTCAGAGAACTCACAGTCCAGTTGGAGAGATGGACATGCAAACCCATGGCTGCAGTTCTCTGTGATAAGTGATGGGACCACTAAGAACAGAAATGGCTCAGAGGACAATTACCTAATTAGGTAGATCAAGCAAGGAAGGCTTCATAGAAGAAGAGATTTTGGAGTTGGGTTTTGATATATAAGTAGGAGTTTGCCAGGCACCCACAGAGTCTTTGTGGCTCCTATCAAGGCATACATCTTTACAGTCCTGTCGGGGGATATCAAACAAGACAGAGGCAGGGTTTCCCTGGGAAGGAGAGGGTGTTTAAGTATTCCATAAGGGGAGGTCCACGTAAAGTCTGGATAGGGTGTGAGGCGTCCATGAGGGAGAACACAGGGTGGTGGGAAGGATCACAGGACTTGTTGGGGGCCGGTTTAATTTGGGCTTTGCTGACATTAAGTGAACACTTGCTCAATGATGGGCCCTGGGCAGTATGGCCTCAGGGGAGGGATAAGAAGGTTGGAGAGGATCGGGCCCAGGAAGGGGAAACCCTCTTGGGGTTTCTGGGAGGGCCACCCCACCTTGCAGTACAGAGGACGTCTTGTGAGTGAAATGCGCTCCTGTCAGGGAGGAGCGGGATCTTGCAGAGGCCCTGGTGCACCAGCGGCGGGAGCAGGTGGCACTCATGGCGCTCCTGAATGGAAAGGCGGACGCGGAGGCCGAGGCCTGGGCCAGGCTGCAGAAGATAAGCCTGACATCCCCGTGGGCTGGAGAGCGCTCCCCGGAAGACATCGAGAACAGCTGGCGCGAGTGGGAGTCCGAGGGCAAGCAGGTGAGACTGGGCGGGGGACATGGCGGGTAGAGGGGCCCCTGACTCTCAGCCCAGAGCCTCTGCTCTTACCTGTGACTCGTGCAGGCGAGCAGAGTCGTGGGAGCTGCGTACAAGCCCAGGGAGCGGTCACGGAGCCCCGAGCTCCTGTCCACCAAAGTACCCTACAGCTGGATGAAGCAACAGGTGAGGCCGGCTGAGGCGCTGGGGCTGGGGGAGCCACCTCCGTCAGCAGCCACCCCTGTGCCCACACGGCCCTGCAGTGGGAGTGAGGGGAACATCCGTCCTTTAACAGGATTCTGGGCCTCAGACAGTTCTGGGATGAATCCAGTCTGGTCGGTCTGTTTGCCAAGGGCCTGGCTGAGGCCATGGACACAGGTTTTGTCCTTGAGGACAAACCTCGTCGGACCTAGGGGAGGAGTTCCTCCGTGGGCCCGGCACCTGGCGATAGCCGTCAGAGTGTTTCCTAGCGTCTCTGGCTATTCTTTGCTAGTTAGTGTGCTGACTGCTCAGGTCTCCATACCGCGGGCTGCTCGCGAGCAGACGGTGTCTCCTGGTGCCAGGCACACAGTCAGTAAGAGCCGGAGGGAATGGAGGGAGACTCTCTCTTTGGGGAGAGAAAGGGGCCGGGACTTTGGAAAGACCAGCGTTGAGCCCCAGCCTGCCTGCCTCTTGCTTGGGCAGATCCCAGCCTCTCCTAGCCTCTCCCTCCTCATCTGCTGTAGGGGCATTATGGGAGCTCCCTCCTTCTGCGGTGGGGACTCAGAAAATGTGAGACAGCCCTTCTGTCCCAGGCTGGGGAGAGGTCAGTGTGAGAGGGACTGCTCAGTGTCCCTGCCCTCTCCGGGAGATGGGCCTCGAAGCGCAGCTTGGCGAGTGCTCACCGGAGTGGTGGGAGCATGTCTGGGGAGCTCCACACACCTAGGCCACACGTGGGGTCCAGCTTGAGGCCTCATTCTGAGCTAGGGACAGTCCAGTGCCCACTCACAGGGTTGTTGCCAGCACCAGGAGAAGGGCTGTGTGCCAGGTCTGGTGCGCAGTGGGCTCGCAGGCTCGGCAGGCTGTCGTCAGCGACAACCGCAGCACTCTGGAGAGTTCTTTCACAGGCCCCGGGGCCTGGCCTTTCGCTGGTCCTGCTCTTGGTCCTAGGTTCCCCATCCATGGCCCCTGCCCTGTTCCCCACAGATCTCAGCTCAGGTCTACCAAAGCCTGCACTTCAAAGAACTGGCGCCCATCCAGCAGCCTGACTTCATGATGCGCAAGGCCCTAGACCAGCAGGGCCAGCTCATCTCCCTGGCGACCCACGACATCCAGAAGGACCTGGATCCCGACAGGCAGACCACGCCCAACACTACAGCCAGCATGCCCGCTGCCGTCCCCTCCCCGCACTCTTCACTTGCCTCGTCAGCCTCAGGCTCCGGCCTCCTGGAGTCCAGCTTGCTCCCCTGCCCTCGGTTCCAGTCCTCCCTTTCCTTGCTGCGGCCCCGGTCGGCCTCCGTGGCCCAGTCCTCCCCGACAGGCCTGTGCCACGTGTCCAGGTATGCCCCACAGAGGTCGGCGACCGCCATGCATCTTGCCCCCTCTCTCAAGCAGCGCTCGAGGCAGCTGAAGGCCCCCCTTCTGTCCTCCGGGCAGAAGGGCTCCCACGTCAGGTTCTGAGGTGGCCCACACTTCTCTCCAGGCCTCCAGCAGGGGGACCAGGCCCGTGGGGGTCCTGTCTGTCCCTGGTTTACCCTCTGCCCGGCCAAGAGGATATGGACCTTCCCCTGGCTGTCCCCACTCTGCCTGCCTGCTAAAGTTGACCTTCTTCCCCAGAGTCTTGGAGAAGAAAATAAATGTTCTCAGCTGTTGGCGTCCCACAGCCGTGGGGTTGGGCTGTGTGTCCCTCGCCCCCTTCTGCACCAGGCTGTGTCTCCAAGATTAGGTCACGTTCCCCTGACAAGGCCCTGGGCAGATGAGGGAGGAGAGCCCCTCCCCCAGGACACCTGGTGCAGCTGTCTGGCTGGCGACAGGCCTGGGCCCGGGGCAGGGGCTTTGCGGGTCCTGTGGTGACATGGTGGGTGGGTCATGCCCCTGGGGCGAGCTGTCTGTTTCTGAAACTTGGTTCGGCCTCGCCGTGAGAGTGAGGCCCAGCAGCTGTCCTGAGGTTGTGGCGGCTGTCTGTCTCCTGCTCCTGCTGTGTGTCTGTCCTCCTTCCCATCAGGCACTCCACCACAGGAAACCCTGCGTTTACAAACTGTTCCGTCGCTCATGCAGGGGAGGCCCAGAAGTGTGGTGGGCAGCACCCCAGCCTGGCTCTGTCACTGCTAGCTTTGGAGCCCCCAATCGTCTCTGGGCTCATTGTCCCCCCCGGCCCTGAGGTGACCGTCCAGGCCTCTGCTGGGCCCCAGCCCTCTTGGTAGCTCCCCAGCCCATCCTGGGGCACGTGAGGAAACCGGACACACGGCCTGCCGCCAGTGGAGAGCCCGAGGGCCACTGCTGCTGCGCCACAGTGGCCACGGTGTCACGCTAGGTGGGGCTTGCCGGAGCGGCAAGAAGGTGGGCTGCAGGCCCCGTGTTCTCAGGGGGTCTCTGCAACACTCTTTGTTCCCAAAGATCCTCCTGCCCAGCCCAAGGCTCAGCCCTGAGGGGGGAATGTGCGGTTCTCACTCTCTCTGCTCCCATTTCCCTCTCACACTCCCCAGGGTGCAAGCACAGGGCTCCCTCTCCTTTCTGGCAGGGAGTCCCCTCTGTCACTGGGGCCACCCTATTCTCTCTGCTATGGGAAACTATGACCTGAGCCCTCCAGGGCTTGGTTCTTAGGTTAAGGGGTCAGGGGGCACCCAGGAGCCATATTACTGAGGCCCAAATACCTTTGCATGTGTACCCCAATATGATCCCTGTATCTGTTTCCCAGGGCTTCCCTAACAAAGAACCATAAACCGGTGGCTTAAAACAACAGAAATGTCTTGTCTCCTGGTGCTGGAGGCCAGAAATCCAGGCATGGGCAGGGCTGTACCCCCTCGGAAACCGGTCGGGGAGAATCTTCCTTGTGTCCGCGGTGTCTGGTGGAGGCCGGCAGTCCTGGCGTCCCGGCTTGCAGCGGCGGGCTCTGATCCCTGGCCTCCCCTCGCGTGCTCGTGTCTTCACGTGATGGTCTCCTCCTTGTGTGGATCTCTTTTCTTATAAGGACACCAGTCATGGGATTAGGGGCCCACCCTACTCCAGCATGACCTCATCTTAACCAGTTACATCTGCAGCTGCTCTATTTCCAAATCAGGTCACAATCTGAGGTATGGGGGTCAGGACTTCATGTTTTTTGGAGGATACAGTTCACGCCATGCCAATCCTTAGTTCATAGATCCCCTCAAATGACCCGGAAGCCACACGAGCCTTAGGAACCTACAGTGCAGAAGTGAGGGTTGAAGACGGATCTTCTGAGCGCAGGGGCTGTGGCTGGGCGGGCTGGCCAGATGTGGGTCCTCAGCCTGACCCCTCTGGTGGCAGGCCTGGCCCTCTGCCTCCCTCTTGCTTGGTTCTTCTCAGGGGCTACTTGGTACCTTGTTGCATTTGAGCCTCGCGGCAACCAGAGAGGCAGACTGGGAAGAATCCTGCAGCCCCCAGCAGAGAGCCCTCTGCGGTGTGTGAGAGCTCTGGCCTGGCTGCCCCCGGGACAGGCTCCCCTCAGATGAGGTGACAGATTCCCTCAGGGGCTCTGTCTGGAGGCCAGGGCGGCCCTTTCCCTGGCAGAGCCGTCGAAATCCGGTCCTGAACAACGGTCCCTGCCCTGGCAGGGGAGGAGATCACAGAGCATGACCCCGCAGTCCACTCCTCAGCCCACTTTCAGTTGCACCACGTGGGGCAGGTGCTCCGTGCTCCACGGTGTTTGTGCTTTGCTTCTCGGCCTGCGGTGGGCGTCTGTGGGGCCTCCCACCTTTGAGAGTCTCAGGAGATAAGCACTAGGAGGGTCCCCAGGGCTCGGCTGCTCTAACAGGGAGGCATGAGTTTTCACGTCTAGAAACTGGTAGCTCTGGGACTTGAACCCAGGTTTTTCTCAGCCAAAGCCCTCTGGTCCTCAACTGCATCCTGCCCTGGGCAGCGTCTCGAGGGGAGGACTCGGGAAGCGGGGAGGTGTGTGGACAGGGTGGTGGTGAGAGCAGGCCCAGGGCCTCTTCCCAGAGGTGGAGGGAAGCAGGGGAGGGGGAGGGGGGACGAGGGGACAGCAGTTGCCAGCCCTTGAGGGATTTTTTTTAAAGGCCTCTACACAGCGCTGAACTGGAGGGAGATTCGGGGTCCCCTTTAAGACCGGAGATCCTGATTTAGGGACCATCTCGCTGGACACTAGGGGCCAGGGCATGCCAGCCTCTGGCGAGGCTTCCAGCTGAGTCTGGGACGCGGTGAGCCCTCCCTCAGTGGGCCCAGCCCCGTTACAACATTTACTGCATCTGCTCCTGCGCTTTCGTTTTGGCACATGGTAGGCACTTGAGAAAACAACCGTGGAGTCTGAGGCCCTCCTCCGGCCCCCGGCGCAGCCAGCCGTGGAGATCTGTCTCTGGACAGGAGTTCACAGGTGCCCCTCAAGGCAGCAGGCGCCCAAGATGCAGAATCCCAGGCCCAGGACTGAAGGTGGGGCCGAGCACCGCCCACGGTGGTGTGAGCGACCCCCTGTCTCTCCCGCTGCCCACACCCGGCCCTCCCTGGCCCAGGCCCTCCCAGATGCCGGGCAGGTTATTCTGAGCATCAGGTCAGGAGCTGAGCACCCAGATGAGGAGGCGGAGGCCAGCGTCAGCAGGGGTTGGTGTGTGAGGAGGCTGGTCGGAGGCCTGGTGTCCTGCTCCTGGTCCCCTAGGAGCCCCACAGCGCCCTCCCTCCTCCCAGGCCCAGGGCCTGAGGAGCCACGCCTGTCTCCCCTCCATCTGTTCTCTGCCTGTTGCACCAATGGCCTTAAAAAACTACTTATTTGAGCTCTTTTCTGATTCTAAAGGTAGCAGAGGCTGAGTATAGAAAATTAGGAAAATTCAGAAAAACATAAAAGCTGATAAAAACCATCTGGATTCTCTTTCCCAGAGATCATTTTTTTTTTTTTTTTTTGAGGAAGATCAGCTCTGAGCTAACATCCGTGCCCATCTTCCTCCACTTTATATGGGATGCCACCACAGCATGGCTTGACAAGCAGTGCGTCAGGGCGCGCCCGGGATCCGAACCAGCGAACCCCGGGCCGCTGCAGAGGAGCACGTGCACTTAAGCGCTTGCGCCACCAGGCCGACCCCTCCCAGAGATCATTTTGATGCGTTGTCTTCTGGATTCTTTTCTGTCTCTGTGCACTTGTGCACACGCCTGTATACACACACACTCACGCTCACAGTCATAGACTCACGCCCCCACGACCCAGAACCTCAGCATTCAGGCTTCAGATGCAGCACTCCTCGCGTGACGAGCAAACGCCCGTGGCAACAATTCCTCGGAGACCTTGCCCATGTCCACCGCGTTCGGCCGCTCCCCGGGTCACCTTCTCCGGGATCCAGGGCTGCTGCCATGCTGCTCTTGGAAGGAGGAGGAAGGCACGTGACTCCTGCTTGCCTCCGAACAACTCTACCGCTCACCATCAGAGGCGGGAACAGCCATTTCTCTCCAGTGGAGCAGAAACATTTGCTCATGAACCCGCTGGCAGACTGAGGGTGGGTGTCTCTCCACCAGGAGATGGCGCACAAGGGCACCGAGGAGAGAGTGGGGACAGCCTTGTCCTCAGAGGGAAGCCATCATTGATGTCGTTTCTTGACACCACTTCCAAATGTCGTGCTTGTCAACGCTCACTGAGTATCTGCTGTATACTGGACACTGTCCTGGGCCCTGGGGACACCTTGCCCTTTCCTGTGGGGACACAGGTCACTCCCCGGTAGGGTGGATGCATATTCTCGCTGGTTTATCCAACAGATTATTTTACTGAGCGCAAGCATCAGGCATCCAGCGGGAGGCAAATGGAGCTCATGGGACAGGATGCAGTGGGGACTAGGAGAAGCAATCCGAGACGGCTTCCTGGAGGAGGGGGCCCTTAAGCCCAGAGCCAGCCAAGATCTTTGTCCTCTGCCTGAGAAGAGCTTCCCCCAAATTGAATGGCCTCTCCTTCGTGCCCTGCTCAGATATCCCCTCAATGCCCAGCGTCCCTGCACTCTCTACCCCCTGCCCCACTTTATTCTCCTCACGGTATTTTTTTGTGCATCTGTTTGTCACTGTGCCCCCTTCCCCCAGGGCAGGACCATGTCTGTCTTGTTAATAGTTCCCATGCCTGTGCTTGGCACATCGCGGGTGCTGGATAACTATTTGTCCAATAAATGCTCATGACTATTAGCTCAAGTTGAGCTCCCCAGGAGGGCTTCTGAGGTTGATCTTGCCTTGGTTTTCCCTCCTCTGGGCTGTGTGTCCTCTATTCTCCAGCCCTGGCTGGATTTTGGAGTGTCCCTCCCCAGGGCGGGAGCCCAGATCCTGTCTGTGAGCCTCTGGTGGAGCTGCTGGGGAAGGGACAGCGGGCCAGGGCCTCGAGGTCCCGCCTGGCTCTGGGTGTCTGGGCTTCTTTCTGGACTCCATGCTGAGGAGGTCCTGATGGGGTCTGGAGGGATGGGTAGGTCTTGGATTGGCAGGTGGTGGGGAACAAGGGGCAAAGGTCTGGGCAATGAGGAGGG